CAGTATTTGAGCCAATTTCGTTAATCTCCCCATTTTGTACATGTAATTCTATAATTTTTCAGGCTGAAAACTTGTAGTTATGGCATTAAGAAACTTTGAATTCATCGTACAGTAAGCAATATCATATATCTGAAAGAATGAAGTATTGCTTAACAAAATAATGAGAAAGCTCTTACTCACATTTGGTGGTCCCTGGGACCTGGTTTGATCGAAACAGCCCATGCCTTGGAGCTTAGTGTATTGTTTTGCTCATTTTTGTGCCATCTTTTTTAGTAAAATCGACAAATCTGTATAAAAAAATGTTTCCCATATTTACATACAAACATACATTTTTGAAAGAAAAAAATTAGTTATTTTTATTATATAAATGTCAAGCACTGCGTACAGTATGTACGACGACGTTGCTTCGCTGACGTCAACGTTTGTCGTAATCTTGTATTCTATAAATCTGGTATAAAAGGCAGCAGTGCTGCGAAGAGGAAGAAGAAAGGAACAACGTAAATTAGCTCTTCTAAACGTAAATAAAGTAAACAAAAAAATTTCACTTGGCGCACAGAGGCTTCTTCAAACTTTTCCCCAAGCTTATGAATATAAAATACCCGTCTATTTTCCATTTTATATATATATATTATTATAAAAGAAATTATGTAAATTTGTGAATCAACTGTTTTCTGTTTGGGAAATAACAGAAGTCGCTCCTGTCCTGTTAACCAGTGCTTCGAACGCCTGTTAAATTTAACAGCGGTCACCCCTCGGCAGTAAATATCAAGCTCTCCGAATATCATGAAAATCCATCAACCGTGGTTTAGAACATACAAGTAGTTCTAATCTGTCCAAACACTGCATGGTGGTTTACTTCGACTCATGCTCATAAAGATGAACCCAAGCTTCGTCTCCAGTAGCAATTTGACTCAACACAACATCCTTCTCTCCATTGCAGAGGTCCAAAAATGTACGAAATTACTGTAAGAGCCGTTGTTTTTGCCTAGGCGTGCGAATTTTTGGCACTTATCTTGCGCTGAGCTTAGTCATGCCAAGATGATTGTGCGAGATTATCAAAATGAAACTCCAAAGATTTCTGCGAGTTAATTCTTCTTCTTTAGTCGAACATCGTCGAGGACAACTTTTTGAGTAAGTTCTGGCGTTGTCAGTTCGATGCTCCTGACCGATCTCAGGTTATCTTCAAGAGTTTCTTTTTAACTTCTTTAAATAAACTGTGTCACTTGTACATCAGAGATTTTCCTGGACAAGAGCCGCCAACCAAACCAACGATATCTAATTCAGTATGGTCGCAACTTATTTTCCCTGCTTGGTAAGGAACGTTATAGCCGCAACGATTTTCGATGTGTTCTATATTTTTATAATCGCTTTAAGATTTTTAGTCAAGCTCCTTCCCCAGTTTGTGTGGTGTCTACGAACAGATGTTTTTAATTTTTTCTTTATAGTTTTTGTCATGCCGCGTGGTTGGCATTTTTCTAAATGCGGCCGTCCCTAGACAGGCAATGTCAAGCCCTTCGAGTGAGACCACGAATTGGAGGAGGAGCTCGGCCAAAAAAATCGCTTAGCGGCAACAAAGTGCCAATCAGACACATATATTGTATGTATATACATATGTATGCATATAGTATTGCTTCTGGTCAGGTCTCGAGCCAAACGCTCCTCTCTCTCATATAACTGGGGAAATAAAACAAATATGGGTTCTAAAGCTTGAAAACCTGGCTTTATTCATTTGAAAACATTTCGATGTTTATGGAATCACTAAGCCTAACTGAAGCTTACTGTTCAACCAAAATTCAAGGCGACATCGAAAAAGGCCGCTCGCAGGTAACCAAAGTCAGGACAGTCACTTTGAAGATAAACGACCGATTCACTTAGTCCACTGTTCATACGATTCGACTAATAATTTTTTGGGAATTCATCTTGGCAGCTATTATTTGAGACAGATGATAGAGGAAGGTAGGCTCCCTGTTAAGCAAACCTTCCATTGCCTAAGGCAGTGTAGTCACCTCGCCATCGTCCCGCAGCTTCTTTGGTAACTTCATAAAATCTCCTATCAAGCAGTGGTGTGTCAATGATATAATTTAATATTTTTTAGAAATGCAAAGGTATTCTCGTCTATTTTTTCGATTTTGCCTTAATTTAACCTATTAAACAACCCTGTTTAACCAACGAACATAACATCTCAGTATATGTACGTGCGTATGTGTGTATGTATGTATGTGTATGCACGTAGTAATTCTACGCTATTTATGTTCTGCCTTTGCAACCACAAAAAAAGTCGAATAACAATTGAACAAGAACAACACAACGGTGTTGGTATGAACAGAACAAAAAACAAGGCCACCATTTTTTCTTTTCAAAAGAAAGTGTCGTCGTCGTCGTCGTCATCGTCATCGTCCACTTTGTTTCCAACTTGGCGAATAAGTCTGCCTTCTTTCAACATATTTTTATTTTTTTTTTATTTCTTATGCCGACTTTGCCCATCCCCTTGAATTTCTCACCGCCCTCTTGTAGGTCACACCGATCGTTTGCCCCCTCTTGTGCTTCAACAAACCAGTCAAGTCACTCACTCGCTCGCGTGCTCACCACTCAGCGTTCAGTGCTCGCCAATGCAGTCATTGCATAGAAAAGTACCAGAAAAAGTTCTTTGTTGTGGCTGCAAAAACAAGAAGCAAAAAACAAAATAAAAATATGTACATACATGCAGCATACATATTCAAACGCATATATAATATACACGTATGTACATATGTAAATATTCGGACACATAAAAATTGAGAAATCTTTATTCACTTCACTTTAGTTCATGCCAACTTAACAGTCAAATCCCCTCTTGGAAGTTTCCCATTGTTAAAAAGCCTTTGAAATAAATTTCCCTTTTTTGGGACTCAACAAATCGATTCTCTGCTCTCACTCAAAATGCATTGCAATGTAAAGAAACTTCAGCCAATCAGCGCCCATGTGGGCTGTGACCTCATCTCCATTTACAAAAGTACGCATAAGGAAAATTTCATCGTGCATGAGTAATTTCCTCAAAGCTCTTATAAACACACAAACACTTGTGTACGGGCAAAGCAGCGGCAGGGCATATTCTGCAAGTTTTCGGGTTGTCTGTTGCTCGCGTGTTGAGGGTTGACGGCGGCTGCTGAAATTGTTGAGTAATAATCATTAGGTCATGCGCGTTGTGCGGATTAAAGTACAACCCCTACTAAGTTATTGTTATCGCATTGGTTAGTTAGGGCTGCCAAGTACATGTGGACGGAATATGCTTATGAATTTATTAATAATAACTGTTTTTTGGCAAAAGTTTATGTAACTGCAGTGATTTTCTAATATTGGGAACAGGACTTCTTGCTGAGAGGCAACATTTAATCGACTATATTGACGTTAAGACTACCAGAAAGCCTCAAGAGGTTTTGCATTTCTACTAGGTAAAGTGGTTTCTTTACTGCCGCGAACAAAGTAGATTTAAAGCAACAAATATACGGTTACTGCCTTGTTTGAATATCGTCAGCTAACAAGCTTACAACCACCGTCATAGGGGTTTGCGAGCACAATAAGTTAGCTGGTAGGGGCACAGTCCTTATCTTGATGAATTATGTACCCAAGTTCTACCTAAGCCAAATTCATGCTAAGATCCAACTTCACCAGTTATTCGAATGCAGTTGACGGAGTGAAACAGTATACAATGTAAGCAAACAGATCTGGCCATCGATCGAAGTAAAAGGATAAAAGTGTCTGCTCCTTCTAAATTGGATTTTCTTTAGGCCAACAACTGGCATATTAACCGGCCACCTCTTGATGGGAGCTTATGGTAGAAGTGCGGGTTAGTTCTCTTTTAACTGCTGTCGCAGCTGCACGAACATAGACGAGGAGGTGTCGGTGGACAATAGTTAATAACATTAACGCTGCAAGTGTTCAGCCTTCTGTACAATCCCTTATGGTTTCCTCGAAAATTATTATTTCAACTGTCTTGCAGAACCTATTTCAACAAGTCGCAATAACCACGTGAATTCAAAAAGTGCACAAAAATTTTTGGACATCTACGAAGATGAGAGGAACCTCATAGACCCATCATAGGTATGACTTTGCAACAGAATGCCAACATGAGACTCCAAATGAAACCAAGTCCATCCACATCGGATCTTTCATCGGAGTGTAGGATTTCCTCTTTCTTTGCTACCACTGGCTTTTGCATGCTTTCCAGCTCGGAGACATTACTGGATACCTCTAGAGAAGATAAGAAAATAAAAAATGTATAGATTTTCAAAAGTCGAGATTGCGGAAACTCTTTATTTTTGAGTGAGTATGCGCTCATTGCGACGCACGCTCATGCTTCGGCTACACAGCTGCTGATGGTGGTGGTTCTTGGCTGTTGGTTGCTGGTAGCTGGTTGCTGCTGCTTGCTGGCTGATGGTTGCTCCAGTGTTTATCGCCACACAGTTCACGTGTTATTGTTGTGGGAATGTTATTGTTAGTTAACGTGAACGAGTGCGCGGCCACCGCAGTCGCTTTGTAAACAGTTTCGAAGGGTTGAACCATCATCATCATCACCATCATATCAATAGGTTTTCGCATGTCTGCTGCACTGCAAGCCATTGACAATAGTATAAAGGGGCGCCCAAAGAAAAGAGAGTCAACCCAGTAAAACTGATTGTCTCGTGCGCTCGAGTTATGCTGGTGATGGCAGTGAAATGTTATGATTTCGATATCTGCGAGTTCACATGTGGACTGACAGCGAACGTTGACGGTTGTGCATGAGTGTGGAAATATCGAGAATATCGGTTTATTCAAATACAAAAATACATACATACAAATATATACAAATAAATATAATAATATATAAATAAAGATTTAAAGTGGAAATAAAGTTCGATTGAAAATATACAGCCAATCACGTACATACATATGAGTTGAGTAAACATCGAAGGAATCTCTGTCGCGCACATGAAAATATCCTTCGGCAGTTAAGTGAAGTTGAAGTGAAAGTGAAAAATGTAAAAGCTGTAGGTTATTTTGCTTAAAAAAATATTATAAGAATAAATAAAAAATTAACAAAACTAAAAAGTGTTTAAAAAACTATACGCGACAACAAGACCACACGTCTTAATCGGAAAAAGTTGTAAAAGCGCCGTTAGACAATGCTTGAATTCTATCCAATGCCCACAAACTTAAGTCGTGGCGCTGGTTTCTACTCGCATCATCATCAAAATCATGGCGGTACGCGTACATTTAATAATGCCACCAATTCGGTTGGGGCTGTAGCAGGGCAGACAATTAACGCGACGGGCTTGAATAGTAGCAATTGTGGACAGCAACAGCAACAGCAACAGCAATATCAGCAACAACATCTACAACTCCAGCAGCAACAGCAACAGCAACAGCAACTTAATCTACATCAACAAAAGCAATTGACTGCCTCCCCAACGCATGCTACATGCGCCCCACTGAATCGTAGCAATAGCAACACACCTACAACAGCTGCCACCGCTGCGTCAGCCACTACAACTCTATCCGCATCCGCCGTGTCCGCCAACTCAACAACGTGCGAGTCATCATCATTAACAGCTTTCAACGTAATAGCCGCAAGCGAAAAGGCCAACGTGGTCGCCCCTGAAGTCAATTCCAGTGCAACACTTGCAATCTCATTACCCGCGTGCCCCTCCGCCGTCGGCTCCGTTGGCTCCGCCGTCACATCCTCCTCCACTTCCTCCACCACCGCTGCACATATTTTAATGATACCCACTTCAATATCAACATCGTGTTCGTCGTCACCTTCTTCTTCGTCATCATCATTAATGGCGGTGTCAGCTTCTTTAACACCACCGTCGGCGATGACGGTAACGTCGGCGACGTCGGCAATGCCAGCGTCTGAGCTAACAACTGGCTGTAATGGACGAACAGGTATAATAAATATTTAACGTTCAAGTTGTATGAAGGTGTTCGAAGAGTTTTGAATATTTTGAAGCTATAATAACAACAACAACACAGGCCAGGTATCTTTTGAAAGGGTTAGTATTCAGATTTTCGACAACAATTAAGACTTTGCGAGGGGGTTTGTGTGTGGCGCAAATGCAACTCTGTGTAAAATATGGCATCTTTTGTGGAAGAGATTTATTACTCTACGAAGTCTTTAAGAGATGACGACACTACATTGAATAGTATTTATATTTAGCAGCACTTACATACATATCTGCGTATGTGCGCGTATATATGTATGTCTGTATGTGGTTTGTAAGCAAGTGTTAATCATATAGTATTGGGACATAAGTACATATGTAGGCCAGTAGTCCCATCAGACCAGCAGTGCAATTCTGTAACTTTTATCGACACGATTTGTCGGATCGCAAAGTTACGAATTTTGTCGCTTGCGCTAACGATTATGCGATTCTCTAACGCAGTTGTTACGATAATCGACATCGCACATTTCTATATTATTAAAATGTAGGAAAGGTGGCACCACAGCTCAACGAAACGTCAAAATGTACGAAAAGCACAAAGAGGAATGACAAAAACAAATAAATTTGTTATTGAAATTATTTTAATTAAAAGAATAGCAATGCATTACAAAGTTTTTCAATAGCATGTTATGGTTTGCACTTTCATGCATGACTCTTCGCTCTATAGGGGAGCTCCAAATAAAATAATTGTGCCGCGCTCTTGGGTACTTGGCATTTGCCAGTATAATCTTGCGATAAGGACCATATATCTATGTGAAAATATAATTAACTTTGTTACTACAATAGTAATCGGAAACAAATTTACTCTCACCATTTGCACATTGATGGAATGGTATCCATGGTGGTTTATATACGCTTCTTCATGATTTTTAACTCATGTGCAATCGATAGCTCCAATAGTGCCTCCAACATATGGTGACGATGACGAAGCAAAAATTTGGAAAACTAACAGAAAACCTTGAACGGTTGATTGCGTCTGTTACGCGATGAACACAACGGTTTACTGACGACTGACTCATGGACATGCCCATTGCAAAAAATCGCGAGGCGGGTAGAACCTTTAAACATTATAATAGTGTTAAGACTAAAAAAAATATTGAAAATATATATTATTACCTGTTTCTCCGTAGACAATGCTGTTATTCTTCTTCCTTTTAGTTGGCAATCTAGTTCAGAAACGATTTCTTCAACTAAATCCGGCGAAACTCGGTAGCATCCAAATGAAAAGGATCTTCCGCTTCTCGACGCAAACTTCTATTCAATGATGAAGATTAGGATACCTCGTCATATTGTGATAAAACGTATGCCAAATATTCAAAACCATTTCTTTTATTTTTTTATTTTTATTTTTGTATAACTTTGACAATTTCCCGGACACTTTACTCTCTTAAATGAAATAACAAAATTTTGTCGATATCGCTAACAACTTAAAAATATTTGTCGCTTAGTTGGCGATTTTTCGAGTAGTTTACGACAATAGCGAGAGCGAATATCGTTATAACAAGTACACCGAATATTAAAATCGTTAGAATTATCGCAAAGTCTTCTTTGCGATCCGAAAATCGTTATACTAGTCTTAGAGAATAGCGAATATCGTTAAAAATATCGTTAAGTCTTCTTTGCGATCCGAAAATCGTTATACCATTTTAGAGAATAGCGATTATCGTTAAAAATATCGCTAAGTCTAATTTGCGATCCGAAAATCGTTATACTGTGCTTAGAGAATAGCAAAATCGTTAAAATTATCGTTAAGTCATTATAACGATCCGAAAATCGTTATAATACGATAGAGAATTGCCCTGCAGCTGACATTAAAGAGCTATAGATTATCCATTACAGTTAAGCGTTAGAAAGTTTTGATAATTTAAAATAGTTTTGAAACCTGAAAAGGCGAAAAACCATTCGTTTTTTAACATTTTCTTACATTATTAAGCAATCGGAGAAACGTTGGCTTGAGGTCAAGTCGGAACAACGTTTAGATAACAGAGAGAAAAACAACTGTCCTCTCGCAGATGATTTCGATAACTCATAGGGAATATTATGCACAAAAAAAAAACACTTTTGAAATGGTCATCCCTCATTTTGAACAAAAAATTCCAGTAAAATCTCTCAAACATTGATAGGGCGTCAGCAATTAATTTATTTTAGGTTATGTTCAAATTATATGTTTGCAAAAGCTGTAATGATAACCACTCGGTAATCTTTCTGATTGTGGTCGCCTCCCGCCAAGGAATATTAAGCTCCTCTGAGTGTATTTCGGAAATGAATTAAGAAAAGCTCTTCATAAGAAACCATCAGCCGTTCGGAGGCGGCTTAGTATAAACTGTAGGTCTCGCCATTTGTTGGCAAAACAACAGGAGTCCCACCACAAATTGGAGGAGGAGCTCAGCCGAATAGGTGTTAGCGATTATAAAGCGCCTGTTGTATATATATATGTACAACTGAAGATCCACACTTGGTATTTTAGAAAATATTTCATGGAGAATAAAAAGTTTTCGTATTGAATTTGAACAAATAAATTTCACTCCCAAAAGTCCTCAACGATCAGATACCCGAACAAAATTTACTCGGGTGGAAGGATTTAAATAACTTTATAATAAAACTTACCGCTTTGAAAGCCGTGAAAACCCCATTTCCAGGTGCCGAAGCGATGCAGATCAAATGTGTAATTTCCATTTTGTTGCGTGATCTCTCGCCATGCTTCCGGCAACTACATTATTCCACGCTCATAGAACTTCTGGTCTTCATCTCCAAAAAAAAAAACGAAACCAAGTGTCATTTTCGAAAGTTTTACCATTTAATGAGTTATGCAAAGATCGAACCAAATGGTAGTCTGTATCAACCAAATGGTTTGTGGCGCTTCATCATGCTTGGACCATGATCATTTTGGATTGAGGTAATTGTAAACAATCCATTTTTTATCTCCAGTTATGATTTGCTTGAAAAAGGGGACCATATTCATTGCGTTTAGGATGCAGCGGTAGGTTAAATGAATTTCTTTCAATTGATTTGGCACCCAAATATCGAGGTTTTTTACCAGTCCAAGTCGTCGTATATGATTATGAACGGTTGATTCTGGTATACTTAACTTCTCTCCAATCTCACGCTCAGTTCCATGACGATCTGATTCGACTAAAGCCTTGATATCGTCATAATCAACTTCAATTGGCCGACCTGAACGTGGCTTATCTTTGGGGTGCATTCGAAAAGAAAATTTCGACTTTCTTGAAATTTTTGTTAACAAGACTTTATATTCTTTGGGTATCTTCACATATTTTGTAAGTGAAAAACATCAAAAACCAATAAAAACTTTTATTAGAACCATTATTCGTTGGCAAAATCTAGTCATATATTGTTAGTGCCGGTAAATGGTTCTTTTCAGTATTTGCAACTTTTCCATTATCTCACGAGTTGTTGTCCGGCTGTTAATTTTCTAATTGTTTGTTTTTGTATAGAGTTTTATCATTATTTATTTTTTTGCATTTAGAATTGAAAAAATATTAACCTAATTGCTTCGTTTTGAGGTTAATTAGGGGCCGGAAGTCTGAAGGACCGGAATTTCGCCGATTTCCTGATTGCCTCATGAATTGTTTTGTCTCTTCGGAAAAGCAAATCTTTGTGTTACGCCTTTATCGTATTATTTTCTATGATATTTTGCCATTTTTAGCATGGAATGTCCATGGCTTATCGGTGAAAAACTTGCTGCAGAGATTGAAAAAAATGGTAGTCCATCAAAAGACGTGGAAACTACTCTGAATTTTCTTCCGGAATTAGAATGGACGAAATCCGAGGTATCGCTAAAGAGAAAATAATAAAAACGAAAATTATAAAGAAAATAGTAACTATTTATGGGGCAATGTTGGCAAGCGACATTAATAAAGACTCGTTTTCTGCACACACACACACTTGATATTTTTTTTTTTAGAAACCATGAGTGGCGCAGAACGTTTCACCAAGATCATATTGATTAATCAAAAATAACTATAAAAGAATTTGTGGCCGATCTAGTGCGCCAAAAAATGTGCATATCCAATGAATTTATTTTGACTCCGCAAACAAATCAATCGAAAATCTGTGAAATGGGTTTAATATAATTATATAGGTTTCATGGTACAAAAACAGCATTTTTCGTGTGATTAAATTTCAAAATGGCTACTGCTCAGCATTTCTCCGAAGACACCTTTTTTCTAATGGGTCCATGGTCGAAGACGTGAACTTTTTAATTTTTGTCCTTTATTAAAAAATATTTTTTTTGTTTCTATATAACAACAACAAGAGATCTGGAAGATTTTTTTTCGACATTTTTTTCCGAAATGGTGCACGTTTGAACGAAATGTTACAATTTCCACTAAAAAAAACGACATAAAATTGTTGATTACAAAAAAAAAATATGCAATATAAAAGTACGTCTCTGGAGCACGGTATTTCGAATGTACTGTCAAAATCTCGTAAGAATCGGTGAATATTTGTTTGAGTTACGTCTTCGGCTAGTTGAAAAAGAAGTGATTTCGGAAATAACGCGCCGGGCCCGTAAATCGCGTTCGGGGCATACCTGCGAGGCACTGCCGTCGAATGGAAAATTTGGACATTTATACATTTTTGCCGACATCCATCTTTTGGTATGTTATTTCTAAGACTCTTAAGCAAATTCTAGCAAAGCAAAATTCTAGACAAGTTTCCCACCTTAAAAATTAGTGATTTTCTTAAACCACGCATAACAGAATTTTTCACTTTTTTAAGGGATATTTTTATATATAATTAAATAATAAAAATATATATTTCATTAATTAAATAATAAAAATATATATTTCATTTTAGAAATGAAAACCGAATATTAGTTAGATTATTTCGCGTTCAGTAGATCAAACGGTGAGCGGACAAATCAGATTTTTTGCTTAGTTTTCAATTTGTAAAATTTATATTTTTTGGCATTGAATTAATTTA